CGCAGAGCTGGGCGGCCGCAAGGGCTTGGTGGCCCCGGGGTGTCCCACACGTGCTGGAGGGATGAGATGCTCCTGTGTTTTGCTCACCATCATCCCACGGGCAACCCCTCCAGCCAAGGTCCCTCATCAGGGCAGGGCGAGAGCTGTGGCACAGGCACAGCGCTGCTCCTGCCAAAGGCACGGGCTCTCTTCCAGTCGGTACCTCCTCATATCTCTGAAGAGCCACCCCCGAATCACCGGTTTTGCTCCTGGGAGCTGATGACTGGCCGTGCCACCGCAGCGGTGACAACTCACAACTCATTTCTTTGCCTAGAAAAAATTCAGAGCATTTTTTTGTTGTTGTTTAAACACCTCCCCAATGGCTGTGGGAAGATGCAGCAGCTGTTAGCCAGGCTTCCGAGAAACGTCTTATAAAACGCCTGATCTAAACGCCACCTTCCACAGAACCCCTCTGGGGCATCACCCCGCTGCGCGCCGAGGCGAGGGGGAGCACAGCCGCGCTGGCAGCGCCAAGCACTGGCTCCGGCCGGGCATCTCCAGCAGCTCATAGCTGGGGACCAGCCCCAGACCGGTGACGAGGCGGTGGACCCCAGCCCTCCCAGTCCCTTTGCCAAGCGGGGCTGGAGTGGCAGCAGCTGCCCAAGGGACGTCTGGAGCACAGGACCGTTTGTACACCGCAGTACGACGGTACGGCCAAAGGAGCTGCGCTGGAGCCAGGGGCTCTCCGAGTGCCCGCGGCGTACAGCGGAGCAGCGCCGGAGTGTTTGTGCAGAGCATTTGGCTCTCCAGTATTAAACGTGAAACATGTTGAACTGACACTAAAGCAGAATTAAGTGCCAAAGCATTTGCTGCTTCTACAATTACACTCCGGAGCGCTCTGGTGCTCCTGCTCTCCTTTTTATGACCCAACTCGGTCTTATTGTAGTTTGGCTCTCTCGTTTCAAGTTCTCCAAATGGAAAGGATCAAAGGGCTCTTTGTTGTCGTAGCAGGAGCGCTCCTCCGAGCGCGGCGTTACCGCCGCTAACAGCTTGCTGCTCAGGGGGAATTCGCGGCAGCCTCTGTGCCACCAGCCCGAGCCAAAGCATTAGCAGGTGCAGCAGCCGCCTCCGCCTTCTCCCCATTAGCCGGCCACACTAAGCCACCTGAGCAGCTTTTTTATGGGAAAGGGAGGCCAGGGCAGGTTTTCTCATTTATGCCGCACAAATCTGGCTCAGTGGGCACCAGCAAATCCAAACTTCACTCGGCTATTACGGCAACAATAAGCTCGCGCGAACGGCTCGGGTAACACCGCGGCGTGGGGAGAGATGCCTCCGAGACTGAAAGGTTTCTCTGTTTGCAAAGATGGGGGCACAAATTAAGCCCTATGAGTGATGCTGTGTTAAGCTGCTGTTAGCTAAGCTTCTGTTAAAACGCTTCTCCCCCTCCTCAAACGAGGCTGCAATTAAGCGGTCTCTGGGTAAAGCGACCGAATACGCTGGTGATGGGCTGCAAATAATAACAAACACCAAACCACAGCAAACACCTCTGTGACGACCCGGGAACGCCGGCTTGGCACAAGGCACAGCGAGACTCAACCTTTCCAGTGAGATGGGGATGAGTCTCCGGTCTAATTATCACCTCTCTGCAC